CATATAAACCCCCTTAGATGTCCTAAACATTCCATTCAAATGCCATCTCAAGGGACACATAACATACCACCTATTCCACATGTGTGGAAATATAATATTTTATTACATAATTTCATTTCTTCCAAGCATGGTCTTTGCCAATTTGTATTATTCCATCTATGTTCCTCATCAAATTTGCATTAAAATATGAAGGAAAATAGGGAGAAATTAGTGCTCCCCCATACCATTGACTATTTTTCTACCTATTTTATGATTTTATGCCATATCGGGTACTTTTTGGGGTCTTGACTTACCGGATAATCTTATAACATGTTTTGGCACCCTTTTCATATCTCAAATAACCTCACATGGCATTATATAACATGCATATGAAGGGAGAGATACTCTTCCCTTTGTTCTTTCATTAAACTATTTAATAATATTATTTCAGATTAACTTAACTGAATTCTTTCTATTGGTCCATATACCAATACTATCTTTTCATCACCAAAATTTTTTCTAATTTTTCTCAAGTCAAAGGTTAACAAATAAATGGTTTATTTTGACTTTTCCCACCCAATTGACATGTCTAAAGGAATCAATGTTGGACTTATTGGATCCCTTGCAATTCATGCAAGGATTGTCTATTGGGGTTCTATAGAAAGTCCATTTTATGAAATCTTTGAGAGATAAAAAAGAATATGGATGCAATAGTGTATAAATAGACTTTAAATTCTATTAAAGCCAACCTCTTTCCTTTTAAGAACCAAATTATTTTTAAAACCTATGATAATTCAAGTATTATTCCTTATTTTTCTTCAATTATCTGAGATCTCTTCATATTTGAAATAATTCAATTTCAACTATTATTAATAATTAGCCAAAAATGTGGGAATTTCATCAAATTCCAAGGATATTTTTGTCATTTTTAACTCCTTACAGGTCTCAAAACCTCATTTCCCCTTTTTTTGAATTTTTTTTTAGAACTTTTATGTATAGTTTCCATCATTGCCCTTTTTAGCACAAAACTTTTCGGATTTACGATTAGGTCCCTGTTTGGGTTTAACCTTAGGAATCATCTCATTGAAATTCCCAGCACAATCTTTGGCCCTTAATCTGGAGGGAATTGAAAGACGACGCGCAGCGGAAATCAAATTAAAATCTAAAACTTTCAACCCCTTGCCCGGATCTACCGATCGCGTTTAAGTTAGGTAGTAAGAAGCATTACCTTCGGTGTTCGATTTCTAGGTGGCTCGGTGATTCCGCCGTTCAGGATGCCTCTGCTTGCCTCCTTTGTCGTTCAAAGTCGACAACTCCGGTCGGCTTCCTCTACTGATATCCACACGAGTAGCCCTCAATCTCGAACGACGTGTTAGCGTCTATGTCCGTCTAGGGTTTTCAAAAATCCGTCCTCTCTTCTCACTTTTGGCCGTCCCTTATCTGCTTAGTGCTTTCGCTCTCCCTCTTAAAACCCTAGCTCCTTATATCAAATATATAGGATGCTATAGGTTTAATGAATGATTTTTAATTTCGAAATTAATCCTAAATTAATTCCGAAATTAATACAATATCAAATATTGCCTAATCAGATAAGATAATAATTAAATAAATATGGTTTATATTAAATCCGTCTCACAGATTTAATTCACCTATTTATTTAATTCAAAAATAAAGATATGACGGAATTAATTTACATAGATCTAATTTATCCTTATAAATTAAATCTAACAATTAATATCTCTTATATTTATAATATATATATACGAATATATATATACATGTCCACCCTATATTAATCTGGACATATGATTCATGAATCTGGACATCATAACTCGCGTTGGGCTATTTTGTGTGCGACCCTGTAGGCCCATATGAAGTTGGCAGTGGGCCATTAACTATAATGACTCACAAGTCGTAAACGGTCTCTAGCAAGACATTATGACTACCCAAATCATATGAGGATCGTTGAACGATGTAACCTTTCATACAACCATATCGCGTCCCTTTTGTCACACGACATTTTGGTCATGGATGAGGCATGGAGAACGTCATCCTCCTATTCATGACTGTTACTTTCTCGATCCCTGAGTAGTTTGAGTATAGAAACGGAACTACCTTTCCATTATAGTATGGCCATACATTTCTCAGACTCACTCATCGAGGGGCCCAGTAATATCTCTCTACGAATGTGAGGGACAAATTCCATCTTGACCATTCACATTCCTCCGCATGAAAAACCACTAAGCCTGAACATAATCTTTATGATCACTCGGTCAAAAGTGACTTTTGACTAGGTCAAAGCTAAGCGTTTCTCATGTAGGAATCCATGATGATCTCAGGTCAAAGGGCACAGTGACATGGTTTGTATATGAGAGAAGCTTATGACTTAACCCATGCAGCTCTCTCATAGCGGGTCAGTCCAACACCTTGTACTCTTACATGTGCCTATGACTTTAATTTATATCTCTATATATCTTTAAAGTCATATTGGTCTTATTTCATCTCTGCTCCCACATAGATGACCGACCAGGGACATTTAGGATAAACCACGAGTTATCCAAGGATAGTCATCACAGTAAACATGCAAATAATATGATAACGTAATTAATAAATTCATAAATTAACAATGTTCAAAACATAATGATTGGCCCCTAGGGCACAATTTCCAACATAATCATCCCCAATTCCCATGCTAGAGCCTTGGAGACTTTATCAGAGTTTTTAACTTGCCTGTCTTATTGTTTCCAAAAACTCTTACTTTGCAATTTAGTCCTTATGAACCCTTTCATCCTTTTAGGGAACTTTTGGAGCTCTTAGAACTCCTGCCCATATAGGTCTAATAGCATGCCCATTTTAAGCTAATTCTGATACTTCTAAACCTAAAATTTGGGATGTTACATCTTTTTCTTCTTCGACGAAGGAGGTGATGGAAGGGTTGTCCAACATATCGTACTCGATGTCTCAATCATCAAGTAGGAGGTTAACTTTATTGTTGAGAAGTTGGTCGAATGACAGCGATGGAGGTGGCAAGGGAGGTTGAGGGAATGGAGGATGCACTCAGAGTGTTCTTTGTCACTTTACTATTGCGGGGCCGCCGACGGTGGAACAAAAGGATGGCAAATAAGAATAGTTGGGTTCTAACCTTAGGTGGATGGTGACAGGATTTGGTAACCTTTCAAGTTCAAACACATAACTTTAGGGAACAAAATGAAAGAGATAGGCTCTTCTAAGTTTAGTTTCCCGACGTAAATATTATTAACACTGGTTGTTTACAATAATCAATGTTTTATAAGCTACATTTACATCGGTTGTGCAAACGATCGCTATAAATAATAAATAATACACCGAACGTGCTAACAAATGGTGTGAATATTGTATCATTATTTACAAAAATATAATCGCCTCATTTATCACATTGGTTGCGCAATGATCGAGGTCGGTAAGATGGTGTAAAAAGTGGATTTTCTGGTAGTGATAGTTACAAACTGTCATGTATATGCAAAATTAAATGACACATATTGACAATTCTATTGCAGTGAATGATCCATAAATATTACCAACTCCATCCTAAATATAAGAGTTAAATAAGAGGTTTGCTTTGGTCATAAGTATAAGAACCTATAATTCACTTTGTCTTTCAAATTTGTAATGTTTTTCCTAAAATATCCCTATTAATTGCATATAATAAGGAGTTTCCATCAAGAGGTAGTTACAATGCACATGATTGAAAAGGAGATCTAGGAAAACCAACACATATTTATTATGAATAATTGACATAACTGATTTTTTTTTAAAATATCCATAAATTAGTAATCTAACTCCGATATTAGTGATACAAGGGAGAGTACTTATTGTTATAGATTTAATATTTTACAAATGGGTTTATTAAATCAATTGTGTTACCGTAGAGTCTCAAATGTGTTGTCTCTTGCTATTCAAAGACCACAAAGATGCCGATGAGGTTTGAGTTTTAATGCGAAGGATGGTGGTCAAGTCTCTGCAATTTCCATCGTCTCCAGCCCTTTCTTTTTTTTTTTAATTTAAATTTTATCCAAAAAAAAAAATCTAGGCACCCCTTACTTGGAAAATGTTTGAAGGGTCACCTGCCATGTAGGATTGAGTTAGAGATAAAAAAGGATAATAATATAAAGAATTAAAAAAAATGAGGGAGTGGGTCATAACCAATTCCCAAGGTCAAAAAAAGAGTCATAAACAAGTCAAAAGTTCAAAGACTGAGTCGCATCGAATCAAAGTTCAAAAACCGAGTTATAAATAAATTAAAAGTTAAAGAACTAAAAGATTAATTTTTTTCATTTTCTTAATAGGGGTTAATGCTAGTCAAAATGACAATTATGCCTCTCTTTTTTTGTCTCAATGTCCACATGATTATTAAGTTATTGGGACTCTTAGCAATAAATCAAATTTAGGAGATTGATTTATAATTTTTTTTTTTTAGTTTTTTGAATGCCTAACTTTGTTATTTGGAACCTACATGTAATCACCTTGCCTCACCTGGCGGTTTCTACCATTGCGTATGCTTATTCTATTTTGAAGAAGGTTCAAAAAATTCGAACAAGGACTCGTTGAGGACGCAACTCAATGTTAATGCTCCATGTTGGGATCCATTCGAGGTCAGACCAGATGAAAATATGTTTTTAAATATATGTATTGGTTAATTTACATGAAAGTAAAAATAAAACAAAGACATAAAGATACAATGTTAAATAATAATAAAATTTAATGGCTAAATGATGCAAACTTTCCGTGAACTTTGAGCTAGTTGCACACAACCTCCTTGACATTTCAAAAATTAAATTTAAAATAAAAATACCCTCATAACATACACTTCCTAAAAAATAATTTATTATGGAAAAAAATTACAAATTAAAAATCTTTAAGCCAACCATATTAGATTTTAAATGATCCAAATTTTATTACGGCAATTAGCACACCATCCTTATTGCTATCATGAGTATCCAACGAGAAATGCCAGCGACCTCCAAACATAATCTTCTATCAGCTAAGCGGTAATAGGAAATTATTCCTTGAAACCCCAGTTAATTTGCATACTCAATGCACTACTTGAACCATGAAAACCCGGTGCAACATAATACAACAGGTACAATCTTAGATTCAAACCAGATTACAATAAGAAAATGTGAACACATAAATGGCTGTATCACTACTAGTACTGGACCACATTCTTCACCGAGAGCTGCTTGTTTTTTGCTTGGCCTTCTCAATGAGCGGCTTTAATTGCTTCTTCTCAGCAAGGATCTTCAGAAAGTTAAACAGAAAGGGTATATAGTTGTGCTTCCTGCGGATATTCTCAGTTCTCCATTTTTTGAATTTTTCTTCCTCCATCAATATCTTCTCAGTAGCAGCTTCAATCCCCGCATTCACTTCAGAGAGAGAATTGTTCAGGGCCTCGTAATTGCTATTTTCCATCAGTCTCTCTGATTTTGATGCAGCCAGCTGCTGCAAGATGCGCTCCCTCCTCTTCTGAAGCTCCTTCAGTTCAGCCGTATACATCTCCTTCCTGTTCTTGATAATTGCCATGAGATTAAATCTTATCTCACTTTGGGAATACCTATCAATACGTTCCTGGATCACTGGTTGCACCATCTTCAGCCAGTCCATATCACCTTGACCGCCAGAGCACTGACCAAGGCTAATGGGACCCTCCTTTAATCCATCAAGCTCATAGAGGACCCCATCCACCGGTAGGTAACTTATAAAATGGTAAACATCGTCATCTTTCCCGGCAACCTTCTGCTCATCAGGGACAAAAGGTTCGGGCCTTGCAAAGCTATTATGGGCTGTACGAATAGCTTCACTGTTATTGATAGCCAATCCTTTCAGCTCAGGAGGGAAGTTCTTGGTAAATTCTTTCAATTTTGACAACTCTGGTCCAATGTCAATATCTGGTGTATTCATAAGGATAGACAAGATCGCTTGTGTTGCACAAGCATTATTTATTACCTGCAAATTTAACACTGAGCAATCACTAAACCTTGAAAAATAACAAGATTTTGTAAACCAAGAAAACTAACCTGGCTAGCAAAAAACAAGTTAGGATTGGGATCTTTGATAACGACACGGTCATCCTTTTCTCCTGGACGCCATTTGAAAAGAAAAATCAACCCATAAACAGGCCTGCAATTGAGGATGGAAACCACCAAGGGGGGGGGGGAACAAAGGCAAATGTTCACAAAGAGATCATCATAAATTGTGAGCATAAACTTAGCTTGGTGAGATAGTACACCAACCTAAGGCTGTTGAGTGAGTCAAGGTCCAATGAATACAACTCCTCAACCTGCCAAAATATTGGGCATCATGACATGTCCATGCAGAACAGAAAGAAAAAAATAACAGGGACATGGAAAGTAAAGAGCCTAGGGCTATCTACAAAAAGTACAAACTGGAATCGGACAGGAAAATATAATTGTCCCTGGCAGAGGACTTCTACTTATATTAAAACTGAGAAAATCAGGTGGTCCATCATGGGTATTAAAAGCTTTTTAATTTTTTTTGGATATTTCTTCTTAAATACATACACTGTCAACCTAGCCATCTATAATTAAATGCAGAATGTTACGTGCTTTACTGTTGGTAGTTCTCTTTCATCTTTTTTAATTCATTCCCAATTACTGTTGTTGCCGTCCAATTTAGATGGTAAATGTTCAGGCATAAAGCGTTGTCATTTTACCATCAACTCTAAAAGTAGACAAAGCCGTGTTAGATTACATCTCCAAAAAATTCATGCTGAAGAAATTCAAGGAGATTAAAGTAGATAAATTTCTAAGGTGGCTACTAGTCAACAACAACAACAACAACAAGCCTTATTCCACTAGGTGGGGTCGGCTACATGAATCAGACGACGCCATCGTGTTCTATCAACAACCCAGTCCTTAATATTTTCCGTTGCCGGGAAAAAAAACATCCCATAGTAATCAAAAGCTAAAAATACAACACTAGAACAAAACGAAATACACCTATGTAGGACAAAACTACCTGTACTCCTTTCACTTGCATTTGTTGTATAAGTTCTGTAAATACGCCTGAAAAGTTAAAAAGAGAAGGCGGGATACTTTGAGTTATGTTTTAACAAAAATTATGCAACGACTACAGAATTACAAGAAGCATGCCAGACCTTGAACAAACAGTAAGAGATTAACAAAAACAATATGTCAATATATCATTTCATTCACATAGGAAGTTTGTGAGTTGCAAGGCAAATCCCTGAATTATGTTTAAATTTATGAAGCTCAGCATCTATTATTGGAGGCATGAGGCATTTATGGACAGCCATCTAATGGCTTACCTTTTTAGGTAGAGTGACTATTGAAATGGTATTCTATAAGTGAAGACTGAATCTAAGAAACTTGATTTCCACTACCTCCCCTTTCTTGATTATAAAAATTTTTAGCATTAGACAGAGATCGGTCCTGCTTTGGCCCCTCATCAAATAAGTAAGACAAACTGCTAGAAGAATACCTGGATCTGACTCGATTGTGCACCAAGACATGATTGAAAATCTTAAAAGCTGCAAGGAGGGGAATATAATTAGAAAGCATGAAATATGAAACATTGAGTCTCGAAAACAAATTTGTTCCTATGGTTCTAGGATTGCACATACTTTCTATGATTCGATTCTCATCAGCAATCGTTTTGCTGATGAATAGTTTTACACCCTAGCTCAAACTTAGGAAGGTGATGATATGATTACTTGTTTCCTTTTTTAACTAGTCTAGTCCCTTGATTAAAACAGGCTTATTCATTATTCGTGACTGATTTTATCCCCAGGAAGACCATATCAAGCAATAGCCCATCTACATGAGCCCAAGCGCCTGGGTATTTCTCGTGGTGAGGTATGGTTTTGCGCCTTCACGGGAGTTTAAAGGTTTCCAAAGTTTATAATTTGATTGGCCATTGAAAAATCGCTCCCAACGCATGTTGGGAAGAGAGAGTTGGGCATAGATATTAAATTTTATCGAGGGTATTTTTGAAATGTTACAATAATCTTTACAAAATAAAATCCTTCAACTATTATCAACTATATGCTCTGATACGTGTGATTCATTTAAAGGTCTCTTAATAGAAGGGACTACTACTACGACAATATTCTTTTCTGTGAAGCCATTCACCGTCGAGACAAGTTTGTTTTTTACAGGGGACGGAAGCCGACCTGGAAACACAGAAAGGACGGCAATTCCGCCTCATATCCGGTCACGGAGGTATCCGGGTCCCGAAGAACGGGCAATTAAAATTAAAAAAAGAAAAAAAAAACTCAAAATTCGGATGATCAAGAGGAACACAATCTCACCAAAATAAAGACTTTTGAAATCAATATCCAGACTATGATAGTTTCTTTCCTCTAGGAAGGAATAGCTATTCAAAAAAATTCAACTAGAAACCGAATTAGATTAGAAAGGAAAATATCAGAATCAAAGAAAAGAAAGGCAAGAACGAGCAAATTATTACATAAAAAGAAATTCAGGAGTACCTAAAACCTTCAATTGTATCAGATTTCAACTCCATTAAACCAACTAACAGAGATTCAGCAAAATATAACATAATTCAAGAGAAAACGGAAATTAAGATTAAAAAAAAAATTTAGCAGTAAAAGAATAGTAAAAAAAGAAGCAGTGAGATCGAAAAGAGAGGGAAGGGGCAGGGGAAACGCACCAGAGAACCACCGCGCTGGAAGAGAGAAGGCCTAAAACAGAGTGAAGAGGACAGGGTCTGAGGACTGAGAGCCGACAGCGACGACGGCCAGCAACGGCAAAGGCGATAGTCAGGGGTGCAGCCGCGATTAAAACCTAAGGCCGAGGCAAATACCGAAGTCTGAGAGCCAAATAATAGTAAAAGGAATGTTGGATAACTACAGGATGAACACTAGGGCTGCGTATGGACAGGGAAAGCCTTTTGTTTGATGCTCAGCCCAAAAGATGACGCAGCCTGCTGCCCGGTCCTATCAAGTAGAAACTCTAATTATTTTGGGTAGGACAAAGAGAGCCTGGGCTGGGTGGGTTTTTTTGCCTAGCGTAACACAATGCCTTATATCATATATAGAAAAAAATTCAATTATCGTGTTTTGAGACAAGTAAGAAGAAAAAAGAATTATCACGAATGAGTCTATTACTCATATATATATATATATATATATATATATAAGGCATATGTAGTCTTATTCTTCATCTTTCGATTTCTTATGGGAGGTAAAAAAAATATTTAATAATTAGAACAGTTAATAATTAAGCTAAATTAGTTGTTCAATTCTTTAGTTTATTCATATAGTTAGTGGATTCTTATAATCATGTGAAAACACAAAATTTGAAATGCGGTTTTATTTTTTATTTTTTTTGTTTTAAAAAATTGGATGTAAGAGAAAAAGAAGGAAATTTGACTTGGAGTAATTTAGCATATTGAATCTTATATTTTGATATTTAGCTCTTTTATATAATTATAATTTTTATGCTTCTTTCATTTTTTTCTAATTTTACCTAATTTTTTTAGCTAAAATAAAAGAGATAATTGCTTAAAATAATATTATCTTATATATCTAATTATATATTTTTTCGAGTAGAGCCAAATGGGCAGGGCAGCATACCCTGCCCGTGGCCCTGCCTTGCCCGTGAATCAGCCCAGCTCAAAGATGCCCATTTTTACTTGGACAGCTTTTTGTTGGGCTGGGTTGGTGCTTTTCTTACGAGCTTAGGTGAGCTTATTGGGCATGCGGGTCTCATGCACACCCCTAATAAACAATCCCGAGTTTCCTCGCCTATGCCTGCACCCCTTAGAGTCCCAGTTTTCTTTGGATTTTATTATTATTAGGAATAATTAATATTTAAGTCCTCATAGTTTTAACTTATTTTTAATCATGTCCCTATATTTTTTTTTAATCAAGTTTTTATAATTTTACTTGTTTTTAATCAGGTTCTTATAATTTTTTTTTTATCGGGTCCTTATTGTTTTACTTCATTTTTAATTAGGTCATTATAGTTTTTATTCTTTATTATATAAATAATAAATTATTATAATAATAATCTTATGTTAATATTCTTTTAAAATTTTAGTTAAACATATATATTATTTATTTTTCAATTCTAATTTTTATAACTATAAAATTCAAATAATAATAATAAAATTTTCTAAAATTAGAATATAATTATAAATAATTTTTAGTTAAGTATAATTGATTAACCTGATTTATTATTAATTACTAGATGATTATATTAATTATTTTGTCCAATTATATAATTATTAATTTAAAAATAAAATTAAGTTTAATGAATAAAGTTAATAAATAATTTTTTTAAATCTATAAAGGATCTAATTAAAAAATAAGTAAAACTATAAGACCTAATAAAAAGGAAAAAAAATAGAGGGGTCTAACTAAAAACCAGTGAAAGTAAAAAGATCTGATAAAAAGAAAAAATTTAGGAACCTGACTAAAAATCATATAAAACTATAAAGACCCAGAGATTAATTATCTCTTATTATTATTAGTTTGCTTTGGGCTACTACAGCACATTGCTGAACCATCGGTTTTATTATTGTTATTATTAGGCTAAAATATCTATATTTAGGTTTTGAGAAAATTTTAAATTTGCATTAACTTTCAGTTTATTTCTTTAAATTTAAATGTGTATTTTTAATCCCTTAAATACTGGCTCAACAATTTTAAAATGATCTCTCAATATTTAAATGCTAAAATATTAAGTTTTAAAATTGATGAGTTAGCATTTTTTTTATTAGTGAAATTAAGGGTGTTATGTTTAGAGAACAAAAATACACTTTTTAAACTTAAGAGGTTAAACTATTTTTGGTCCCAAAAAAAAAATTAAGAGGTTAAACTGAAATTTTATGCAACTTTAAATCACCTTGTTAGAACTCTTCTCTTTCTCTATGGGTGTACCATGCCCATTACAGGATACGATGTGTCAAAAAGTAGATGTTGTCAGTCTTCGGAGGAAGGATTTGCTGCTAAGACCAGATAAGCATTCAATTATTTTGCATTCGATTCCTATTCTTTTTCTATTTTGAGTACATTAACCTTACAAAAGCTCTTTGTCCACTTGCTTGAAGTTGAATCACCAAAAAGTATACTTTAACCTTATTATTACTTTTAGTTTGCTTTGATATCCTAAACTTTCAAGTTTAGATATTAGTTTAAAATTTTTTTAATAAACTCTCAATTAAATCAAGTTAAAATATCAAAATCTAAATTCAAACTAATAAGAACCAAATTAGGAATTTTCGAGCATTGTTAAAAGACCATAATATCCCAAAATAATTAAAAAGAAAAATTAGCACCTCTTTCTTAGCATGAGTAATGTAGAGTCCACATTCTAAAACCAAGAATTTAATAAAGCTCTTTTAATTACTACTATGGTAGAAAAAAAAAACGATTAAAGTAGCTACCACAATAGAAAAGGTTTTACTCATTTCAAAAGAAATCTATGATAGAAAAGAAATGATCAATGACTTGAAAGATCTATCATGGATATTTAGAACTCCTGTCAATATTCATACAAGTTAAATTTTAGAAGAATAAATGAATCTGTTTTTGAAATCTTACATGAATACAGAAATTTCACATTATTGGCACATGCAAACCTATGTTAGAAAGGGTTAAGCCCTATTAACATGGTAATAGAAAACGAGCCCCTGTTTACCACAATTAACACATTTCTAAATATTTCAAGATAGGCCTCTGAGCATTAAACCCAAGAATAACAAACCAAAGCTTACTTTGCGACCAGGTTACTAAATCATACTCATAAAATGTCACATCTTGCAAAATTTAACCATGATAATGGAAATGAAAAATTAAGTTAAAGGCTAATAGAAAAAGTAGAGTGGCTGTCACATCCTAAATTTTGAGCCTAGAAGCACTAGAATTAGCCTGAAATGGGCAGGCTACTAGACTTTTTTTGGCAAAGGTCCCAGAGATTCCCTAGAAGGACAGAGGGATTCCCAGTGACTAAATCGCAAAAGGAAAGTTTTCTAGGACTGAGAAAAGAGGAAGTTAGAGACTCAGAAGAAGTCTCAAGGCCCAGGAATGAGAAATAGAGATAAATGTAGGCCAAAGATTATGTTGGAGGCCTCAATGAGGTGAATTTTGAGGTTAACCCAAACCAGGGGCAAAATCATAATTTTATAAAGTTTTGGGCTGGTAAGGGCAAAAATGAAAATTATGCCCAAAAATCCTAGAAAATGAAAAATAGTAGGTTAAGGCCTGAACACTTCAGAAAAATTCCAGGAAAATAGGGATAAGGTTCAAAGGCCTGTACGAGGCTAAAAATGACGAAAATGCCCCTAGAAGGAATTTGTGGAATTCCCAGGGTTTTGAATGATTTTGAACATTATTAAAAAGGAATTATTTAAAGTATAAAGAGGTCTCAAATAATTGGAAGAAAATGGAAAAAAATACTTGAGGAATTATCACAGGTTTTAAAAATAATTCCGTCCTCAGAAAGTGAAGAGGTTGGCCTTAATGGAATTTAAAACATATTTATACATTATCAGGGGAAAGTCAAAGTCAAAGGTCTAGAGGTTGACTTTGGACTTAAGAAAAATTAGAGGGATTCCCTATGATGAATAAATAGTATTGGTATCTAGAGATAGATTCTCGGAGTTGTGGACTGGTAGAAAGAATTCGATCAAGATCACTCCAAAATAAATATTATTAATTATTTTAATTATTTTAATGGAAGAACAAGAGAAGAGTATCACTCTCTCTCTTTGGGCATATTATATAATGCCATCTGAATTTATTTAAGGTGAGAAAATGGTATTATAACATGTCCCAATGGTCCCGGGAAAGTCAAGACCCTAAAAAGTATCCTATGCGGTGCAGAACGGCAAGATAGGTAGAGGAATGCCTAAGGGTTGTATTTTGCACGAATTTTATAACTAATTTCCTCCCTATTTTAATTCCAAAATGATGAAGGAATATGGAAGAGACAAGTGTACGGTTATATAGGAAAAGAAGGTATTACTTGTATGGTTGGGTGCAAGACATGTGTACGGTCGGATGCAATACACGTGTAGGATTGGATTAAAAGCATGTGGATTGATAATGTAAGCATGATGTCATCAAGATGATGTAATCATGATGTCATAGGACACTTGTCACCATAAGATTAAAAGAGAAAATGGACAGTCCAGATCAAGTCACATTTTTAAAATCAACGGCTCAGATTTAGTCTTTTTTTTTTTTATAAATACCCCCTCAATTTCGTGCAAGCCATGAACCTATAGGGAAACTCTTGCAAAATGGATTCTAGAGAGAGAAATAAGAGGGGGAGAGAGAGGCCAAGTGGTCATATACAAGATCAAGCTCCAAAACAAGGTATGTTCATGGTTTTTAATGTAGTTTTCACTACCTTTTTGTTGTTGAGCTTGGTTATGGATTTTAATGATTTTTGGGAGCTTGAAATTCTAGGGAGACATGCTGCACGAAATTCTTAAGAATAGGGGAAGATGAAATTGATGTTAGAATGATGTTTAAAGGCTTGAAAGAAACAAGAATCAAGTGGCTTTATATTGAAATTGGTTGAATTTCATGACTATGTAACTTGAGTTATATTTCGGCCAAGGCTATTTCATGAGGAAGGAGTTTGATTTTGATTATTTTTAGCTTGGAAATGGATTTTACATGCAAAATTGTATGAGTATAGTATGTGAAATTAATTTTAGAGAGGTTGGAAATCAAACTCAGAAGTTAGAAGTCAATGTAGCTTAAAGAAAACAAAGTATTGATGTTGTTGATTACTATGGCTTTAATGAATGAATAGAAATGATGTGTTGATGTATTTAGAGCCATGGAACATTAAGGAAGATGAATAGAAAAGGTTGAGCAAGCAACCTTAATGGTTGG